AACCCTGGAATTCTGGGATCTGATACTGGCTAAATCCTGGTTTTCTGGTCCTCTGTGTGTGGTGAAACCACCTGGAAAACAAGCACCGGGAGCCAGGGCAGGTGCCACTGCCCTTCCCAGGGCCCTGCCTGCCCCTGCCAGGGCCCTGCTGCTTCCTTTTTGCTCACCAGCTCTCTCCTCCACGTTTTAGAGACAGGACATGGCATCAATGCCAGCACCGAAGTGCCTCTACACAGCTCAGGGACAGCCATGTCACCATCTCCATGGAGCACACCCACAGCCGCCAGCTCGGGGACACCCAACATGTCTTCATCCAGCTCCGACTCAGGGACAGCCAAAGTGCCTCCATCCAGCCCGGCCACAGCAGCATCTCCATCCAGTGAAGCAAGCGCAGAAGCACCTACACCACCTCCTCCCGACCAAGCCATGACATCATTTCCATCCAAGACACCAGGCTCAGTGGTGCCTACGACACCTTTATCCAACAGAACTGCAACATCAGCTTCAGCAGCACCTACATCTTCATCCAACCCAGCCATGGCATCATCTCCACCCAGGATAACAGGCTCAGCAGCACCTCCGACACCTCCGATGTCTCCATCCCACAGGACCACGGCACCGTCTCTGACCCCCCCAGCCATGCCCAGCTCCCCGGCCACGGGACATCCGTCCAGCTCGACGGTGGTGCCAGCCCCAACCTCGCCCAGGACCCCCAGGCCCACTCCTGCTCCCAGCTCTCCTGCACCCACTGTGAGCCTGGGTCCCAGCAGCACCTTGGCCACCAGCTCCAGGATGACACTGGCCATCAGCACCGGCCCCCCAGCCGGCAGCTCAGGTAAGAGCCAGGCAGGGCGGGGGGAACTGTATGAGCAGGGAGCCCCTGGACCTACCTGCAGCTATGGGCACGGCAGCAGCCCCAGCTCCCCCCAAACCCCCCACGCGGGGGCTGTGCTCACAGGTTGGGGCAGGGGGGCTCAGGGGTGCAGGTTCCCGGGTGAGCCCAAAGCCCCCCTGGGCTGCCCTGTCCTCCTTAGGGGGTATTTGAGAGCTCCCCCTTTCTCCCCCTGCCTTTGTGTTGCAGGACCCCAGCCAGGGAGGGTGGGAGGGTCCTGGGCTGTTCCCCGGCGGGTGGGGGTGACACAGGAGCCAGGTGCCAGGTCTGAGGAGGGGGATGGCAGTGAGGGGGGGGAGAACTGGAGCCAGTCTTGAGCCCCCTCTCACCCCGAGAACCGCTGTGGTGCTCAGAGGGTGGGCACGAGGCTTGGCAGTGCCAGAGGGGGGGGAACAGGGCTCCTGTCTTGCCCCCACAGAGCAGCCCCCTGCCA